ACAGCACAGCGCACAGAGCTCCCAGAAACCGCCGCCTCTGGGGACACAGCGCCCAGGACGTGAGGGGCCCCACGGGGCACAGGGCGACCCAAGAAGCCTTCCCGGAGGGGGCGGCGGGAAGGACCAGCCCAGGACTCAGACCCACAGAGCTGCTGGAAGACACGCAGCCTCCTTTGTGGGTCCCTGGCCACCTGACTACACACCGGTCCCTCCAACCGTGTCCGGGACACAGTCTGCAGTCCTTCCTAGGCCCCTGGACCACGGTCTGCCAGGGTGGCCCTGGCAGGGATGAGTCTGAGTCGGGGTCAGGGTCTAGGGTATTAGTTGAGGGTGGGGCTGAGGCAACCGCAGGGGCTCCTGGGTTGGGGTATCATGGACATTGTGTCCACACATCTACACACTTCTGACAGTATCTCGCATGCTATTCATACTTGCCTTGTTTTTCTTTGGTTTATGTTGGTTTCATATTCTTTCCCCTAAAGATTTATCGAGGAGAAATCAAGATGGTGGCATAGGTAAACACCGGAAATTGCTGCCTCTGACAACAATTTCAAAAATACAACTACAAGACAAAACGGACATCATCCAGAACTACAGGAAGGCTGGCTGAGTGGAAATTCTACAACTAGAAGGAAAGAGAAAAGCACACTGAGACTCAGAGGAGCTGCAGAAGTAAAGTGCAGAGGTACGGAGGCTCGAGCATGCGTGGAAAGGGGCTGGCACCTGAGTATGCGGCTGTCTTTTTGAATCAGGAAGGAGTCACAAGCTCCCAACTGCTCTGAACTCCAATTCTGGGAAGTGTCTGGGGACCCAGGACTCATAGGGGGAGAAACTGGACTGTCTGGCAGCAGGCAGAACTTGGAACTTGAGGGCGGCTTTCCCTCAGAGGTGCTTGCAGCAATTACCGGGACACTGAGATGCGGGGCCCCTTAGGGGAGGGCTGAGGATCAGCTGCTTGCTCCACCCTGTTGATTCCAAGACCCCGCCCCACCCAGGCTGAGGCAGAAGCTTTTGCATATGAATGCCCTGGCCCTTTGCAATCTGAAAATTACCTAACAAACTGCAGCTGGGCCAGACAGACCCAGAACTTCCAAGAGAAGGCCCAAAGCCCCACAGCAGCTTGCATTGCTTCACAGCTGGGCCTCAACTGGGCACCTCCAACCCCCCCCAAAATGAAGGCGAATCTGCAGATCTCTTTGTAGCCCCTGCTGGGTAGCCTCAGGAAGAGGCTAAATTAACACCTCCTTAGATCCAAGAGCCAGTGTACCCAGGGGTGAGAGTGGGACCATCCAGATTACAACTCCTCAGATCCATAAGGAACACACTCGGGGGCAGACTCAGTGAGCACCAAAGCCCCATTGAAGCAAGTCTTGCCCCAGAAGGGTGTCTCCAGGACAGAAGTTCTCCCACTGCAGACACAGCTGATTCTCACCACCAATTGGCCTGGAGGTCAATTCCTCCCATTGATACCTACAACAATCAAGGCTTAACTACAACAAGACTGTGCACAAAGCCCACAGGGGGGTGCACCAAGAGTGTCCACCTCAGGTAATTGGGGAGGCTGAGCCACTGGGTCCTATAGGACACCTAGCACACAAAGCCACTCTACCAACACAGGGAAGCATAAAAAATGTGGAGACAAAGAAAGAGGTCACAAATGACAGAAATGGAGGAAAGCAAATGACTGGATATAAAGTTCAAAACCACGGTTATAAGGTTTTTCAAGAATTTTCTGGAAACCGCCAATAAATTTAGTGAGACCCTGGAGGATATGAAAAAAGACCAACTAGAAATTAAGCATACACTGACCGAAATAAAGAATATAATATACAGAGATCCAACAGCAGACAAGAGGATCCCAAGAATCAAGTCAAAGATTTGAAATACGAAGAAACAAAAAATACCCAACCAGAAAAGCAAAAAGAAAACAGAATCCAAAAATATGAAGATAGTGTAAGGAGCCTCTGGGACAACTTCAAGTGTACCAACATCCGAATTATAGGGGTGCCAGAAGAAGAGAGAGGGCAAAATATTAAAAACCTATTTGAAGAAATAATGACAGAAAACTTCCCCTACCTGGTGAAAGAAATAGACTTACAAGTCCAGGAAGCGCATAGAACCCCAAACAAAAGGAATCCAAAGAGGACCACACCAAGACACATCATAATTAAAATGCCAAGAGCAAAAGACAAAGAGAGAATCTTAAAAGCAACAAGAGAAAAAAGGTCAGTTACCTACAAGGGAGTACCCATATGACTGTCAGCTGATTTCTCAACAGAAACTATGCAGGCCAGAAGAGAGTGGCAAGAAATATTCAAAGTGATGAATAGCAAGAACCTACAACCAAGATTACTTTATCCAGCAAAGCTATCATTCAGAAGTGAAGGTCAGATAAGGAGCTTCACTGATAATAAAAAGCTAAAGGAGTTCATCACCACCAAACCAGTATTATATGAAATGCTGAAAGGTATTCTTTAAGAAGAGGAAGAAGAAAAAGGTAAAGATAAAAATTATGAACAGCAAATACATATCTATCAACAAGTGTATCTAAAAACCAAGTGAATAAAAAATCTGTTGAACAGAGTAAACTGGTGAACATAATAGAATCAGGGGCATGGAAAGGGAGTGGACTGACAATTCTTGGGGGGAAAGGGGTGTGGGGGTGCAGGAAGAGATTGGACAAAAATCGTACACCTATGGATGAGGACAGTGGGAGGGGTAAGGGCAGAGGGTGGGGGGGAACTGGGTGGAGGAGAGCTATGGGGAGAAAAAAAGAGGAACACCTGTAATAATCTGAACAATAAAGATTTAATTAAAAAAAGATTCATCAGGGTGTCATGGACATAGAACATGGTGTAATGACTTGATATATGAATATATTGTGAGTTGATGACCATGATATGAGTAGTTACATATCCATCCCATCACTTAGTCACCACTGGTGTGGGTGTGAGAACTTTTAAGATCTACTCTTAGCAATTTTTTTTACTTCATTATTCTTATTGACACTATTACAGATGTCCCCATTTTCCCTATCTTTACCCACCTCCTTCCAGCCTCCAGCCCCCATCCCCTCTGGCCATCACCATACTGTTGTCTATGACCATGGGCTATGATGCATATACAGTGGGGCCTTGACTTACAAGTGTCCAGACTAATGAGTTTTTCAAGATAGGAGCCGTCTCTCGGCAGATTTTTTGCTTTGAGTTGCGAGCTAAAATTCAGGTTACGAGCTAGCAAGCTTCAGATACCCCACCACTAGTTGGCGCAGCGGATGTCACAGTGATTTGACATATGAGTACTTTGAGTTATGAGCTCCGTCACAGAACGAATTAAACTCGTAAGTCAAGGCCCCACTGTATATCCTTTGGCTAATCTCTTCACCTTCTTTCTCCAGTCCCCCCTCTTCCTTCCCCTCTGAGATTTGTCAGTCTGTTCCATGTATCCATACCTCTGTTTGTATTTTGTCAGTTTATTCAGTTCATTTCTCTGCCTGGCTTATTTCATTTAGCATAATACTCTCCAGGTCCATCCATGCTGATTCAAAGGGTGAGGGCTTCTCTTAGCAAATTTCAAGTCTACAATACGTATGGTTGCGTCTACTATAGTTCTCATTACTTAGGCTGTTTCCATGTCTTGGCCATCCTATATAATAAAAAGCTAATATGCAAATCAACCAAACAGCTGAACAACTGGTCGCTATGACAGGCACTGACCACCAGGGGGCAGACACTCAATGCAGGGGCTGCCCCCTGGTGATCAGTGCACTCCCACAGGGGGAGTGCTGCTCAGCCAGAAGCCAGGCTCACAGCTGGCGAGCACAGTGGCAGTGGCAGTAGCCTCTCCCCACTCCCCAGCAGCGTTAAGGATGTCGGACTGATGGCTTAGGCCTGGTTGGATCAGGCCTAAGCCATCAGTTGGATATGCCCTAAGAGCTTCCAGACTGTGAAAGAGCGCAGGGCTGAGGGATCTCCCCAACACCCGAGTGCACGAATTTTGTGCACCAGGCCCCTAGTTGTAAATAATGCTGCAATGAAGGTGAGGTTGTAGATAGCTCTTCAAGATATAATTTAATTTCTTTCAAGTATAGAAGTGGACTTGCTGGGTCATATGGTAGTTCTATGTTTAAGGTTTCAAGGAACTTCCAAACTGTGTTCCATAGTGGCTACACCAACGTGCATTCCCACCAACAGTGCGCAGGGGTTGTCTTTTCTCCACATCGTGACCAGCACTTGTAGTTTGGGTATTTATTGATGATACCCATTCTGACAGGTGTGAGGTGATGTCTTGTTGTGGTTTTTACTTTATTTGCATTGTCTTCATGCATGATCAGTGATGTTGAGCAATAGGGTTTTGGTTACCAGAGGGAAGGGGGTGGGGATTGTAAAGGATAAAAGTGGTGAAATATATGGTTTTGGAAGATGATCTGACTTTGGGTGGTGGGTACACAATGCAACATACAGCTCATGGATCATAGAAATGTACACTTGAAACCCATGTGATCTTAGTAACCAACTAGAGGCCCAGTGCACGGGATTCATGCACTGGTGGGGGTGTGGCGTCTGGGGATCATCCTGCTATGGGAGCACCACTCATCCTGGTCAGCTGATCAGCTGTGGACCCGCCAGCTGAGCTGTGCTCCCATTGTGGTAGCACACTGACCATCAGGAGAAAAGTTCCTGCGTTCAGCGTCTGCCCCCTGGTGGTCAGTGTGTATCATAGTGACTGGTTGACCAGTTGTTCCACCATTTGGTTGCTGGGCTTTTATTATATAGGATGTCACTCCAATAAATTTAACTTTTAAACAATGAATGAAAGAAATGAACCTTGTTTCAAGTGTTATAGGTTGTCAGTACTTACCTGCTAATTGGGACATTTACATACAGAGAAGGCACAAGGAAATGAATGTGCCTCCCAACCCCCCTCCTTGCTTCAAAGAAATTGAATCAAATGGTATGACCATGGTGCTGGATTAGGTGCTCCTCCATTCTCTAATCATGTAAACGTACATAGTTTTTATTTTTATTTTTCAATTACAGTTCAAGATTATATAGGTTTCCGGCGTACATCATAGCGGTTAGAAGATGAAGATGAAGGGGAGAAGGGAAGGCAGGGTGAGGGCCCTGACCCCTAGGGCCCCTGCTGCCCTGAGAAGAGGCTCTGTGCTCACGGCCCCTCCTCAGCCCATCTCAGGGTCAGGGGCTCGGGCAGCCCCTCGTGCTGCACATGGCACGTGTATCTCTGCTCCTCTCCAGGGGGCACCCCCACGGCAGCCCACTTCTGGAAGGTCCCGTCTCCTGCAGGCCTGGTCTCCACCAGCTCCATGTCCTGGGTCTGGTCCTCCCCGTCACGCTGCCAGGTCAGGCTGATGTCCGCAGGGTAGAAGCCCAGCGCCCAGCACCTCAGGGTGACCTCACGGGCAGAGACGGGGTGGTGGGTCACGTGTGCCTTTGGAGGGTCTGAGGGGAGGGGAGAAAATGCAGGAACTTTGCATCCGCCATGGGACACTCCAGCAGCGCCCATGTGACCATCCTGAGAGTGGACAGCCACCTGGGGTGGGGGAGGGAGCACACAGCACACACACCAGCCTGGACAGAGGCACCTGGAAGGACCTCCTAGTCTTTAGAACAGCCGTGAGCAAACTACGGCCCGCGGGCCGGATCTGGCCCGTTCGGCTGTTCTATCCGCCCGCGGAGCCGAAAGAGCGGAGGGTTCTCTTGCTCTCCCCTCCGCTCCTTCACCAGCAGCAGCGTTAACATGTATTAGTTCACACAAACACTCCATCCATGCTTTTGTTCCGGCCCTCCGGTCCAGTTTAAGAACCCATTGTGGCCCTGAGTCAAAAAGTTTGCCCACTCCGGCTTTAGAAATTTCTAGAATCAGAGAGACACAGCTCAGGGCTGGAGGCAATTCTCTGAGGGAGAAAAGGGATTTGTGGTCCTGACTTGGTTGGAGGCCACGTGACTCAGAAAAGCTGGGGGGAGGCCTCAGACACAGTGGGTGTGGGCAGCGCACAAGGACTGAGAGAGAAGGTCCCGGTGGGTCCCAGAGCCCCTGCAGGGCCCATGGGAACCGCAGATGGGCTATTTCAGGGGTGTCTCCCTGCACCCAAGGAGAGACTGCACCCCTAACTGTCCCTGAGATGAGGGGGGGTCCCTCTGGTACCTGAGGAGACATCCATGGGGGTTCCCTCCCTGATCCAAGGAGGGGTGTCTGACACTGACCCCCTGTCCTGTCTCCTTGTAGGAGCCCCAGCCCCTGGAAAGGGGGCGGCCCCAGGTACCTGTGCGCTGCAGAGTCTCGTTCCCTTTGTCCAGGTACATGAGCAGCGACTCCACACACAGGCCCTCCAGGTAGAACCTGAAACGCTCTGCCTCACCGGCCACCTCCCACTTGCGCTTGGTGATCTGAGCCGCCATGTCGGCCGCGGTCCAGGAGGTCAGGTCCTCATTCAGGGCGAGGTAGTCGACGCCGTCGTAGGCGAATTGTCTGTACCCGCGGAGGAGGCGCCCGTCGGGTCCCAGGTCGCAGCCATACATGCTCTGGACCGTGTGAGACCCTGACCCCGCCCCGCCGTCAGCCCCGCCCCGCCCGCCCCACGCGGACTGAACTTAAAACTGACAGTGAAATCGGGTCAAAGTCCCCGCGAGCTCCTCGCGGGTGGGGGTTGGGCGGGTCCCCGACCCTCGGGGCGACCCCGGCCCGTCGGTGGGGAGGGGGGTCGTGACGGGCCCGGCGCGCGGCTCACCGTCCTCGCTCCGGTTGTAGTAGGTGCGCAGGGTCTGCAGTCCCACTCGGTAAATACGTGCGGTTTCCTTGCTGATCTGCGTCTCCCGGTCCCAATACCCCGGGTCCTCCCGCTCCACCCACGGCTGCTGCATCCACGGCGCCCGCGGCTCCTCCCTCGGATTCGGGGCGTCGCTGTCGAACCGCACGAACTGCGTGTCGTCCACGTAGCCGACGGAGAGGAAGCGGGGCTCCCCGCGGCCGGGCCGGGACACGCTGGTGCTGAAATACCTCAGGGAGTGGGGGCCTGGGGGGCGGACGGGGGGCAGGGCCGGGGCTGGACACGCGCCTTCCCGGCCCCGCGCCCCCGCCGGGTCCCCTCGCTGCTCCCCGCCCCGCCGCCCCCTCCGACCCCGCACTCACGGGCCCAGCTGGGGGGCAGGACCAGCGCCCCCGAGAGCAGCAGGAGGAGGGTGGGGGGGCTCAGGACCCGCATCCTCGGCGTCGGGGGGACCAACTGAGTCCCGGCGCTTTCGCGGAGGAGTTATAACCGGGAACCGCGGGGACGCTGATTGGCTGCTCGGGAAACCGCTCAGCCAATGGGAGTGAGAAATGGGGCCGCGTCACGAGTCTCCAGGAAGGAGGCGCCGACCCAGGTTGGGAGAGGAGAAGGGAAACCAGGAGCTGGGGAGTCCCCACCACGGAGCTGCCCCCCCAGACTCTGTCCCCTGCGGAGCCCTGAGCGCAGGCCTGGGCCCTGGGACTCGGTCCTGACCCTCCTCCCGCGCGGGGCGCCGTCACCCTGTCCCCGAGGCCTGGCCCAGGCGCTGTGCTGTTCAGGGACTTTCCAAGGTTTTGGTGTCACCATCTCTGTGCGGCCTCACACACAGGCAGGCGCGCAGAGAACCTTGTGTGTGTGGTGACGTCATCATGGTGACCCCTCACGGAGACACACAGGGTGAGACAGTTATTAATCCATGTCGCATGTCACTGTGAGATAACAGAACTCATGTTTTTTAAAAATATATTTTATATTGATTTCAGAGAAGAAGGGAGAGAGAGAGAGACAGATAGAAAGATCAATGATGAGAAAGAACCATTGATTGGCTGCCTTCTTCACGCCCCAACTGGGAACGGAGCCCATAATCCGGGCAGTTGCCTGACAACGAGGTGAGCTGTGACCTTTGGTTCATAGGTCAATGTTCAACCACCGAGCCCCGCTGGCTGGGGAATATTGAGTATTTTCTGTTCTGTTCTGTCATAGTCCCCAGGGCTGTCTTGCCTCTTGTCCTCATGCAGGTTATGTAAAGTGGTGCCTTGTGTCTCTACGTCCTAGAGACCTTCCCGTGCTGATGCATTGAATCATGTCATGAGTTCACAGGTGTTGCTGTTCCCACAGATCCCCCTAGAAAAGCTGTCAGCACTGGGGAGCGGTCTAGCTCACGTGGTGGGACACACCTGTTCCAACATTCTGCCTTTCTCTTGGGGGCTGACATTGTATCAGGACAACAGGACTGTCAGTTGGCACCTGCCAGGTGATATTTCCTGAAGGGAGAAGCTCACGTTCATGTTTGAGAAAGTGTGAGCCAATTCACCAAACCTCAGCAATTCCAGTGTCTGTGTCATTAATTCTTTTAAGTAAACATGGGCCAGGCCGGGTGTGGCTCAGTGGCTGAGCATTGATCTATGAACCAGGGGTCAGGGTTCTATTCCTGGTGAGGCCACCTGTTGGGATGCAGGCTAGATCCCCAGTGGGGGGCGTGCAGGAGGCAGCCTGTCCATGATTCTCTCCCATCATGGATGTTTCCATCTCTGCCTCCCTCTCAGTTCCTCTCTGAAATCAAATTTTTAAAATATTTTTATTATTGATTTCAGAGAGGACGAGGGAGGGAAAGATAGACATATCTAGGATGAGAGAGATTCATGGATCCGCTGCCTCCTGCACGCCCCTTACTGGTAGTTGAGACCACATTCCAGGCCCTGTCCACAGACCTATGCTCTATCCATGGAGACAAACAAGCTAGGGCTCCATTTTTTAAAAATGTAAACATGGGGTCCCATGTGAACGAGGCTACCCCGCTCACACACATGATCTGCCTGGTACATGAGACTGGGGAATGTGGCAGAAATGTTTTTAATGTACTTCCAGGTCATCATATAATGGTTTTTTTAATCCTCCATTTTTATTAAAGACAGTTAAGAAATTATTCCATTTGTGTAATGAATGGAAGATACATATATTTTCTATTTAAAAATACTTTTAATATTTCAAATATAGTTGATGTACAATATTGTATTAGTTTAGGTGTCTAAGTCTGGGATTAGACATTCATATAACTTATACAGTGATCGCCCCATACATCTAGTATCATGTGACCTCATATGTAGTTGTTGCAACATGATTGACTGTTTTCCCTGTACTGTACATTTCCTCCCCATGACCACACTGTAAGGACCATGTTGTAGCTCCTCCTCCTTCACCTGCTGTGCCCAGTCCCTCCCCTGCCCTCCGGCAGCCAGCAGTCTGCTCTCTGTGGCTGAGTCTGTGGCTGCTCTAGGATCCTGTTGGGTGGGTTCCAGGCGGCTCTGATGCTGGTTGTGGGGAGGGTGGTGGTCATTGTCCTGTGGTTGTGGGCGATGCAGGCACCGCGTTCACCTTTGGGGCATCTCCACCGGAGGCCACGATGTTTAAAAATGTGGATTGGAGGATGAGGCTTCAGTGAAGATAATAATTTCACCTCCTTCAATCGTGTCGTGTCATTTAAAAGCGAAGCTGGTTTTGTGCTCTGACTGTCTGTCTTCTCTCTGCAGGTCAGTGCTGGGGAGGAGGAAGGACCATGGAGGTTGGGTGTCAGCCCGTTCGTGCTGAGCTTGGCCTCAGTGCCCATGTCAGCGGAGTGAAAGGCGAGGATGTCCTTCATCTCCTGCAACAGTGCTGACCCCCCACCTCCCGGGAAAGGCTCTCGGATACTTCTGGGTGCCACAGACCGCACTTTGAGAAAGGTTGATCTGGATAAACCAGGGAGAGAATCCCAACTGGCCCTGCCTTTCCCTCCTCTTCTCTTCCCCGAATCCCTCTGCATAAGGGGGGATCCCTGCACCCCAAAACTGAGCTCACAGCACTGCCCCTGGAACCTTCTAGAAGAGAGCTCACCGAGAAAATTCCTTAGGGAGTGTCCTCAGCCTGGGAGGGAGATGGAGGCACAGGGTGTCCCTTCTGGGACAGGGAGCAGTTTGTGCCTGAAGACACCAGGCCCATAGACACCCATGTGGTTTCTCCACCCCAGCTGAGTATGTGTTCACATCCCAGACAGAAACCTGACGTGTCTGTAGGAGAAGCCATCTTGCCCCTTTATTTTATTCCTTTTGAATTTTAAAAATATGTTTTTATTGACATTAGAGAGAGAGGTAGGGAGAGGGAGAAAGAGGAACGTGGATGTGAGAGAGAAGCCCTGATTGGTTGGCTCCCCTATGCGCCCTGACCAGGGGTCACACCTGACACTTTCCAGTGCCCAGGACAGTGCTCACCCCACTGAGCCGCACCGGCCAGGAGGGCCCCTTTTATGCAAATGAGCCGAGGGCTCTGACCTGAGGCCCAGACTCTGTGCAGAGCAGTCTGTCCAGCAGGACATTCTGGGAGCGAGGACTCGCTCTGCAATGGTTCCTCCTACGTGGCAGCCACCAGCTGCTGTGGCCACTGAGCCCTTGACACGTGGCTCCTGTGCCGAGCAGGGGACTTGCATGTCATGGACCTTTAATTCAGCCGCCATGGGGGTCGTGGAGCTGCCACATGAGACAGCGCCCGGCTAAATGCTGTTAGTTTCCAGTCTCTGCCCCCACAGGGCACCGTGTGGCTCATAGATGGATGGAGGTGACAGTTGTCTTCACGTGGAAGCCATGGGTCTTCATGTGTCACTGACTTCAGTTGTGTGTGTGGGTCTCAGATACACCCTCACTCACAGCTGCCAGGAGAGTGTAATTAATACGCATCTAACACCGAGCTGCACAGGCATGAGCTCAAATGTGAGTTACCCCCTAAGGGTGAAGGGTTCACTAACGCTCCTCACTGCAGCCATCCTGTGTCCATCACCTGGGACCCTTGGTGTTGTGTTTGTTCCCCTGGTGAACATGAGCAGGCACACAGGGCTTTACCGCAAGAGAAAATGGATATTAAACCCAACAGACAGCAGCTCCCTGTAGGCCCCGCACATACTGAGAGAACAGAAAGCAGAGGATGTCACCTGTAGATTCCACCCTAGAATCCCTTACCTACTGCTCCTCCCCTTAATTTCCCCCAACATTCTAACAATCCTGTTTCCCTTCGCCCTTGGGATGCTCTCCCCCCATGAAATTATATATGAAGTGTTTACAGTTGTGTAATGAAAATTTCTCCATCCAAGACCCAAAGATGAAAAACCATGAAGGAAAACATGAAACTTTTCTATGTCAACCTCTCACCCGGGAGATACAAACTCAGGGCCAGAATCAAAGTCAGAGACGCATAAAGATGTTGACAGAGAAAGGGTCCCATGGACCAGTGTTCTCAGCCAAAGCCCAGGAGGCTCCCTGTGGGCAGGCAAGGTGGGTCAGTCATCATTGCTGGAGGGAGAACGCGTCCCACGGGGGCCATGGGGCATCCTAGTGGAAGGGGGGAGAGAGGACACATCTAGGGTGTGGGCTCTGGATGGGCGGCCTGGGGGAGGGTCTGGGGAGCAGGCTGCTCTAGATGGGGGTGTCAGGAGGGGCGGCTCTATGGGTGGGCAGCTCAGTGACCATCTAGGGACAAGGCCGCCTGCAGCGAGGGTGGAGGGGCCGCTGGGGCAGAAGCAGCCTCGCTGCCAGGAGCCAGCACAGGGAGCTGTGGGGTCCTCTGTGAGCTGCGGGGGGCCCTGTGTGTGTCTGTGTTTAGACGCAGGAAGTGGGTGTTGCTCTGTCTCCCTTGTCAGGGCCTCAGGGCGGCCGTGTCTGAGGGTGACGGTCTGAGAGGTGACTTGTGTCCAGCAGGAGAGGAACCCGGCCCAGCTGTGAGCTCCGGGCCAGCTCCCGACAGCACTGAGGCCTCGTGTGTCAGACCAGTTCCCGTGGGGGCTGCTTCTCCTTCTCTCTGAAGTCCAATATCTAAAAGCATCCACAACCCAATCCACAAGTAACGCACATGAGGGAACAATGTGGAAAAGAAGAAATGCAAATGTCAAACAAGTATATTTGTAATAAACACATGTGAACAAGAATGAGAATGTGGAATAAGAAAAATAGGAATTAAAATCCATCGGTTTGGGAAAGATGAAAGGAAATGATGGGAGTATCAGTCAGAGGGAAGGGAAACACACTGTGGTAAAGACGGAAGGAATTGAATGGACACAATTTCTACAGGAAGCTTTTGCCTAAAGTCTCAGCCCTTCAAATGTGCTCACATTCCCCAGGGCTGGTGTGGCTCAGCTGGTTGAGCATCAACCTATGAACCAGGAGGTCAAAGTATGATTTCAGGTCAGGGCACATGGCCTGGTGGGCCACCGCCATCCCCAGAAGGGTGCCTGCAGGAGGCATCTGTTCAATGATTCTCATCATTC